GAAACCCGTAAACGGGAGGTGTTCATGGACCTCAGCAACACTTCGACTTTTCTGCCTGCTCACACGGGTGAGTCTCGTCTTGGTGGTGATTCTGGTTGGTTTTTGCAGGATGACAACAGGCGCGGCCTCGCGAGGCAAGGCACGATTAGGGGACGATCTTGATGATACTATCATGCAGGGCACCACACCAGCTAGAATGGAGTCCATGAGCCCAGTGATTGACTGGAAGGACACCATCCCCCCAGAGGATCGTCAAGTGACTTTCACTCAGGAGTTCATCCCTCCAGTGAGGGACGATTTTCAGGATCTCGGCGACCCTCAGTTCGTGGCGGAATATGTCAACCCTATCTTCGTCAATATGAATGGCGTTGAACAAAAGTAGGTCGACTCTATCGTTCCACAGTGAGGAAAGTATCTTCTCCGTTCGTTCAGATACAGGCAATCCAGCGACTACATGCAGAGGACCCAGAATGATATCACTCAGCGTATGCGTGCAGTTCTGATCGATTGGTTAGTTGAGGTCCATTGGAAGTTCAAGTTGGTTCCTGAGACGCTCTACTTAACGGTAGCTATCGATGATGCTCCCTTGGTTGATGATTTTGTGTGTTTTCAGGTTAACTTGATTGATCGCTACCTTGAGCAGTGTCCTAATCTTCCACGTACACGACTGCAGTTGGTTGGTGTTACTTGTTTATTGATTGCTTCTAAGTGAGTCGAAATTGGTTGAGGAGTGGTATGAGAAGAAGACGGTGTTTCTGTCAGATATGAAGATATATATCCTCCCGAGATGAAGGACATTGTCAGTATATGCGACAGGACTTATCAACGTCACGAAGTGATGGAGATGGAAGTTGACATTCTCAACACGCTTGGGTAAGTGTCTCTTCTCTCGTTTAGTGTTGTATTGGTGTTTGTTTCAGGTTCTGTATGACTACCCCGTCGCCGATGTTCTTCCTGTTGCGGTATGCTAAGGTCATGGAAGCCGATGAGAAGCACTTCTTCTTATCCCAGTATTGTCTGGAGCTTGCATTGCCAGAGTAAGTGGGTTTGTCTCTGTTTTATATTGTATGGCTACATTAGTGTGCGTTTTACTGTATATACTGGAGTTTCACCCGTTTCACGTGAAGTGGCGTAATACTCGGTGAAAACCCCGTTATTGGTGGTATGCAGTGGCTTGTGAAACATGTTTTTACTAGTTTTTCTCTATATCACGGGTGAAACTCCATTAATTTTATATTATATATCTATTCAACCGGGAAACATTTATATAATGTTTATCCTTATCTGGTTTTAATATAATATTATATAATTTCGACATTATCATTTATTTCTATTTTGATCAGGTATAGTATGTTGAGGTATTCCGCAAGTCAGTTAGCGGCAGGCGCCTTGTATTTATCCAACAAGTTGTTGAGGAAGCCGACAGCGTGGCCACCACATGTGGCCGTGCATTGTCCTAACACTGAGCACGACGTGAAGGTGGTGGCGAAGGAACTATGTGCATTATTGCAAGTAGCTACCAATGAGGACCATTCGGGGACGCAACTCAGGGCTGTGAAGAAGAAGTTTCAGCTCTCTAAGTAAGTGGGGTGTGGGAGAATACTGTAGGTCGTGATGTGAGCATCGTTCGTGATAGAGGAAATTGAGTTTACTTGGCAAATGGTCTTGATTTTATTTGTTGTTGTTGTTTTCACGTTCCGTAGTGTGTCCCGTATGGTGCTCGGATGAAGATTAAAGCTGGAGAGTTTCATCTCGTGTACAATACTGATTTATCACGCAAGAAATGTCTATGATTTAGAGACTATCGTCTGAGGAATGCCAGTTGTTGGACGCTTATTCGTTTGTAAAATGAAGCCCCGTGATTATTATCGTCGTATATGATCGCTTGCCCGATTCAATTAGTTTCGTATGCTGCTGTAAGCACGCAATGCATGAGTTATACTACAGAGTGACGAATACTTTCTGTGGGCAGTATTGTGTTGGAAGTAGTCATGCTGGTTTTTGTTAGTTCTTCTCAGTGAGTTGGGTTTTAGTGTTGATTTTTGAGCACATGTTATTATCATGGTTAAATGACTTTATATGTCTGTTGTGTTATGGAGGAGGAGTTGGGGATATATGTGAATCACGTGTTTGTTATTGTCAGTTCTTTTGTGTGATTTGCATGGTGCATATGGTCGTTAATATTATGGAGTTTCACCCGTTTTATGTGCAGTGGCGTGCTTCTCTGTGAAAATGCAATTCTGGCGATATGCAGTAGTTGTGAAATTATTCTCACTGGTCTTTTTCATATCGCGAGTGAAACTCCTTATTATATTCCTTATATTCTCTATGCTAGGCGGTGATAGACAGTTTATTACCTTTCCGAATGCATTGACGATTTTATTGTTGGTTTCTCAGTCGTTTGTCTTTCGTTCGTCTGAACCGATGTTATATATTCCTATTGCGTTAGTCTTTATACAGTATGTGTGGATTTGATATGCTAATGTGTGTTATTGTGGAGGATAAACTTGCCCTTCGTGGCGAAGGGGCGGAGCTCACTGAGTCCACGTCCATGGACTCCATCAATGAATTTGACATAGGTCCCCGTTTCGATCCCCGGGTAGGACATTTCTCCGTCATTAAAGTTCTTCGTGCATATCTCTTCGAGCTGTTCGCAGAATCGAGTTTTCCGATTTTGCCCAAAACCTCCGCGTATAGAGGAGTCTTTTGGTCTATCAGACAACCTTCCACGCTTCGTAGTTAAGCCAGAATAATTCTGCACGTACGCACAACGTGAAAGTGCCTGTTGTTGCGGTATATACTCCGCTCGCTTCGCAATTAATATCAGAAAATAGCACATATTTGCGCATCAGATTGACACACACTGTACTTTTATGCAACTTCTACATTATTGATTTAGTTGTGTGTTCTGATGAAATCGTCTTCCCTCGAGCCGTCCTCCCCCTTGAATGAGCCGTTGTTGATGATATTCGACGACTTCCTCACGTCTGAGGAATGCGATAGGATTGTGAAACTGTCCCTTAAATAATCGTAAGGTAGTATGGGGTAATTTATACGTAGTGTTTGTTGACGACATTCTGCATCATACATGCACTTTGCAAGAATGATCGATTTTTGAGGGCGAGCGCGATTTGCAACAGTGGTCGATATCGACTCTAACAAACAACTTCTATCTACTATGCTCACTAGCAACCGTTCACAGCACTCTCAGCGGTCTGAAAACGTCCCTATTGGGAAGGAGGGTCATGCTGTGATGGAAACTCGTAAACGGGAGGTGTTCATGGACCTCAGCAACACTTCGAACTTTCTGCCTGCTCACACGGGTGAGTCTCGTCTTGGTGGTGATTCTGGTTGGTTTTGCAGGATGACAACAGGCGCGGCCTCGCGAGGCAAGGCACGATTAGGGGACGATCTTGATGATACTATCATGCAGGGCACCACACCGGCTAGAATGGAGTCCATGAGCCCAGTGATTGACTGGAAGGACACCATCCCCCCAGAGGATCGTCAAGTGACGTTCACTCAGGAGTTCATCCCTCCAGTGAGGGACGATTTTCACGATCTCGGCGACCCTCAGTTCGTGGCGGAATATGCCAACCCTATCTTCGTCAATATGAACGCGTTGAACAAAAGTAAGTCGGCTTGATCGTCCCTCAGTGAGGAAAGTATCTTCTCCGTTCGTTCAGATACAGACAGTCCAGCGACTACATGCAGAGA